ACCCGACCCCCCGATCCCTCGCTCTGTCCCTAAAGAAGCCGCCCGGCAGGACTTTTACAACACGTGCCCGGGGGCCCGCTCCCGGCCCCGCTGACCCTTCCGGGGGCGGCCCCGCGGCCCCAGAGGACATGTCCGCGCTGCTCGACGCCTGCCCCTGGGCCCCGGCCCGACTACGCGCCCCACGCCAGCCCCGCCCGACGGGCCACTGCAAGGCCTTGGACCACCCGGCCGCCCGGACCGGCCAGCCCCCCGCGGCCACTTGGCGGCTCAGGCCGCCCCTGCCCCCCGGCGGTCGGGCCACCCCCGGCGCGTGGAGAAGCTGCCCAAGGCCTTCCGCCCGCAGCCCCCTGGCCTCTACAGTTGCTCGGTTCGTGGACACCTGAGCACCAACAGCAAAGCAGAGGTCACCGTATGAAGACGGGGCTGCTGGTTCTTCGAAGCATTCCCTCTACCAAGGATCCGCCATCAGCCTGGTCGGGGGGTGGGGGGAAGGGGTCACGGGGGCTAGGGGCGCCCTCCACCTAAGTCCAGCCCTCCCGCCTGCCCAGGCTGGACTGGGGGCCTTGGAGCCTGTGCGGCTAAGAAGGGGCCTGTCCTGGGGGTCCTAGGGCGCGGGTTCCGAATGTAAATAAACCCTTTTCTGTGGTTCCCATCCCTGAGAATAAAGGAGCCCCAGCTTGGCTCTGAGAGGGGCTGATGGCAGGTACTGGTCACTGACTGCACAGACGGCAGTGCGGGCAGAGGGCACAGCATATGCAAGAGCAGAGGACTGTTCCCCAGAGCTATGGGGGAGGGGGGTTCTAGGAGCCGGGAGAAGTGGCTGGAGGGGTGGTAAGGGCTGAATGTCCACACCAGTGGACCCAGGGGAGAGGCAGTCATCTTGAGGCTCCCGCACAGGTGAGGGCTGGAGGGTCCATGCCCCTGACTGAAGGTGAGCACCCCCTCCAGCGACCACCCACTCTACAGCTTGAGCTGGCCGAGCCAGGCTGATCTTCATTGACATTGTCTGGCGTTGGGCCGGCCCCTGGCTTGCAGGCCACTTGGTCAGCTTGGCCCAGAGCCACCCCCCTAATGGGTGTGGGCAGTGGGCCCGGTGGACAGCTGGTGCTCAGGGTGGCAGAGCCTCCGCCCAGTAGCTGCTCTGGAAGGAAAGGGGATGATGATGCTGGACCCTGAGCCCTGGCAGTGCCCCCACAGGGGTGCTCACACCACACATGCTTGGCACTGCCAGCTCCCCTTTCCTGCCAGGCAGGCTCCAGGCACCTGGCTGTGGCCCAGGGCAGTGCCAGCAGCCTGTGTGCATTGACTTTCTGTGACAGGTACTATTGGGGAGGCTGAGGGGAGGCTGTGCCCCTTGTGTGACCTCAACAAAGCCACCCAGTTGGGCCTTTGCCCTCTGTGTACCCTAGGCATGGGATACTGTTTTAATAAAAATGGCTCCCGTTTGTTGCCGTTTCTTTCATTTAGGCCTCACAGAAGCTCTGTGGGTGTATGGCTTTACAATGAGGAAAACTGAGGTTTTGAGACCTAAGTAGCTTGCCAAGGTCCCCCAGCTGACTTGTTTCCGGCTCCTCCATATTCTCTGCCACTGTGACCCGATGGTGGCATGGCAGGCGGTGGGCAGTCGGAGGAGGGGAGGCTGTGAGCACGTGTGTTGGTAGAGAGGGGCCCCAGGGTGCAGGCAGTCTCAGACCTTCCTCCCACTGGCTGGGCTGCCCTGAGGCGCCAAACCCAGCAGCTCTTCACCTGCAGGCTGGTCCACCTCAGTCTAAAGGCTGTTGAGGAAACCAAGGCCCAGAAGCCCCAAGAGCAGAGCCTGGAGCCCATGTCCTGCTTGCTGTGAGGGCCCCGATGGTTTGTGGGGGAGACAGCTTCACACCCTCAACCCAGAGTGGGGATGGGGTGCTCCAGGGCCTCTCCTGAGCTGTGTGGAGCCAGGGGAGGTGGGTGGGTACTGAGTCACGTAGCCAGCCCAGAACCGCAAAAAAGGATCAGGTTCCTGGGCGCATCGGCCACCCACAATCACCCACCTGGGGACAGGCCCTGGCTGTGCTGTGCTGGGGGAGATGGCTCTACCTCTCTGCTCCTTCGAGGTCCCAAGGACCCTGGGCCTCCATTCCAGGGGCCAGGGTGTGGCCATAGGCATGACCACCAGTGGGAATGCTGCTTTGAGAACTCTGGGCAAGGACCAGCTGCAGCTGGGCCCCTCCTCCCCTTGGGACAGTGTGGCCTGCTGTGACTGCTTCAGAGAAGACAGTGGCTGAGAGAGCTGAGGGGCCTGGGCCCATTTCTCAGCCAGGCTGGGTGACCATGAACTTCAGGCCACAGCACTCCATCTCCAATGGGCTCAGCTCTCCTGCCCCCACCACTCCTTGTGGTCTGGCCCATCAGCCTCACAGGCACCTATAAACCAGCTAACAAACCTATGGGGACTGTAGCCAAAGGCAGGCATGCAAGTGGAGGGCTGAGGCCACCCAAGGTGACCCAGCTGGGAATTAGAGGAGCTGAACTTGGATGTGACTTGTGGGCCCGTGAGTCTCCTCAGTCTCACTGCCCCTAGGGAGGATGGGAAACTGAGGGGCAGCCACCCAGTAAGGGAGAGATGTGAGAGGGGTGAACACAGGGCCTAGCACCCCAAATCCCCAAGAACTGCTGCTGTCAGCCAACCAGCCAGCTCTGTCCTGGACGCAATGAGCAGGCCCTGTCCCAGCCGTGGAGTGCGTGCCAGGCAGCCAGTGTGGAAGGAGGGCCGGGTGCATGGGTGGGGGAAGGAAGCTCTCAGCACAAAGGGAGGGGCGTCCTCAGTCCCTGGCCCACTGGAGGCCAAGCCATGCAGCCAGCTGGCTAGTCACCACAGCGGTCACACTACAGACCCTCACACACCTCACACTGGGTGGTACCAATCGGTGTTTATTGAATAACCTGCATCCAGGACATGGTGAATGATTCCACATCAAGGCTGCCATCGGTGTATCCCCCTTTCAGTGAAAAACCACGCCCTCCCACCCCTAAACAATGAGAAAAGGCACAGTATATACACGTGACACAAGGGCCATACATGACAGTGGGAGGGGAGGGGGGGAAGAGAAAGGAAGTGGGCAAGGTCCAGGCTGACCCGTACTTATGTCAGGGTGGCCCCCGCTGTGTGCATGCGCCAACCTGTGCCGGGCCCCTGCCCCCTCTCTGCCCCAACCAACCTGAGGGGATGGGAAGCCGGGGAGGGAGGCAGGACAGCTCCTCTCAGCGTCCCAGCAGGCTCTGGGGTGCCAAGCAGTCCTCAGGCCCTGGAGAAACCACCTCAGAGGAGGCACCAAGCCAGGGATCCAGAAAAGTGGGACCACTTTTCCTCCCAGGACCCCCATCAAGGCAGGGGCCTCATTCCTGGTGCCCATCCCAAAAGGGGCTTGTCATTGAGGGCTGGTCCCTACTACCCTGGCTTATTTTCAGGTGAGGAATTAGGGATAAAAACAGACCATGGAAGTAGGAGTTGGGTGGGAGGGAGCTGAGAACCCACGCTGAAGACCTGTCCCCAGTCCCAGTGGTGGCTTCATCTCTCCCAGTCCCTGGGCCTACCCTGAGCTTGGGCCGAAATCCCAGGGGGTGGGGGAATGGGAAGGAACAGGACAATTAAATAAGATACCATTTATTTTTTAAAAAATTAAAAAATAATGCCGACATTATTTCATCCATCCCCAGGCTTGCCCCCTGCCTCCCTACCGCCTCCCCAGGGCTGGGCTCCCCTCCTCCCTGGCTGTCCTGTGTAATAAAGAGAAAACAATGAACTGGCTTTGTCAGGCACAGGGGAGGGAACGCAGACCCGGGGAGAGAAATAAAGATGCCACAGCAACTTAGTCCTGAATCACGGCAAACCCAAGCACACTGATATAAAAACATTCGTATAAAAAAGGGGAGAGAGCGTGCTGGGCACCGTGCCAAGGGTGAAGTGCTCTGGTGCCCAGACACCCGTGTCCCCCAGAGGGAAAGCCTGATAAAAACAAGGAAGCAGGGAGGGGGAGAGACGGAGAAAGAATCCTGGGAGGGCTGCAGACCGGCTGGGCTGCCTGGAGCTCCTCCTGCTGCTTTCAAGTCAGGGTCCCCCCACTTCCTGCCGTCCTTCCACTCAGGGCCACTGGGCCCTGGACCATCAGCATCTACCCACATCAGCTATACGGGGCTTTGCTTAGGGGTCCACTGGCCTGAGGTGGTCCCACAGCCTTGGCAGGTGACACCTCAGAAGACAAGGCTCATCCCCCAGCCCCCAAAGGGAGGAGGGAGAGAGAGACTGAGATAGAGGAGGGAGAGGGAGAGAGAGAGAGAGAAAGAGAGAGAGGAGGGAGAGATTGAGAGAGGAGAGAGAGACTGAGAGAGAGAGAGAGGAAGGAGAGACTGAGAGATAGAGAGAGGAAGGAGAGACTGAGAGATAGAGGAGAGAGAGGGAGACTGAGAGACAGAGGCAGTGGGCCAAGGTGGGCAGGGCCCAGAGGTCAGGAGGCGGCGATGGCGGTGCCACCCCCCAGCTTGACAATCATCTGCTGGCAGTCGTTGGAGGAGCGCCGGTCACCCACCTTCTCCAGGGTGCGGGCGGCCTCAGCCAGCAACACTGCCCGCTGGCCCGGGGAGGAGAGGAAGGAGAGGGGAAGGTGGCGGCAGGCCAGCAGGATGGCAGTGGCTCGCTCTCGCTGGCCGGGCCAGGCGTCCACCTCTCCTGTGAAAACGAGGGACAGATGTTGGAGCTGCTTGCTGAGAGCCCACTAAGATGCAGGTGCTACTCCAGGGCCTGATGCGGACTCATTTCCTCATCCTCACACCGCCTAGGTCAGGGGTGGGCAAACTTTTTGACTCGAGGGCCACAATGGGTTCTTAAACTGGACCGGAGGGCCGGAACAAAAGCATGGATGGAGTGTTTGTGTGAACTAATATAAATTCAAAGTAAACATCATTACATAAAAGGGTACGGTCTTTTTTTTTTTTAGTTTTATTCATTTCAAACGGGCCGGATCCGGCCCGCGGGCCGTAGTTTGCCCACAGCTGGCCTAGGTCCTAGTTTACAGGCGAGATGAGATGAACTTGGCCGGCATCACTCGGCTATTATCATTGGCACCGAGAAGGAGCTGTTAGTCTGGCTCCAGGGCCCATGCTGCCACTCCAGCTCCTGCACTGGGACATCCCCAGCCCCCCTCCCCACTCCTGAGGCTGGACCCACAGCCACCCGACCCCCACGTGCCTTCAGAAACCCTCCCAGGCAACCCCACCAAGTCAGGCTTTGGGCTCCTCTCCTCCGCACACCACCCCTGAGGACACTGCTGAGGTCAGTGCTGAGCGGGCGCCTCCCTGCCCAGGCAGGGCCCACACCAGGCCTCCCGGCTGGGGCTGGGGCTGGGGCTGGGGCGCTGGACTCACCGTGCTTCGTGCCCTGTGCAGTGCGTCGCCGCAGGCTGTGCTCCAGCAGCTGGTGGGTGCGGGTGGGGCTGGCTCCTGCCATCAGACGCACGGTGGCCTCATGCAGGAACACCTAGGGAGGCAGGGACAGTGAGGCCTCGGTCCTCTCCAGTCTGTGCCCCAGTAGGTACAGGTGCCTTTCCCTGCAGCGTGTCCTCTGCCACCTGATGACACCCTGTCTCTCCACACCACCTTGCCCTGCTCACCCCTTGAGAGCAACCTCTGTTGTCCTCACTCTGACCCAATACAAGCCAGAGACCTGGAGGAGTGGCAGGAACAAGGGACACAGCACAGGCCAGCGGGCGAGGGCAAGAGCGAGACGAGGGAGAGAGAGGCAAAGGCTACCAGTGACCAAGGCAGCCTCTGGGCTTGGAAGACAAGTAACTGGGTGAAGCCTGAAATCCGTGGAGGCTGCCTCCAGCTTGAAAATAGGACAGGTGAGGCAGGGACAGGAGGGGTCTAGGGGTCCAGCTGGGCTGGAGCCAGGGAGGTCCAGGGTCCTGTTTCGCATCCAGAAGGTTCCCAGGTGGAAGTCTGCAACTCTTCTATAAATATGAGTCATGAGCTGGGGGTACAGGACCAGGCCTAGGTCTCTAATTTCTTAAACTCTTTTGTGCCTCACAATCTCAGTGTGTGTGGGGATCCTGGGTGCCGCCCAGAGGCAGTGGGGAGCCACAGAAGGGTCCCAGCGTGGCTGGGGCAGGATGGCAATGGTGCTGTAAGGGGGGGCCTCAGGCCAGCCGTGCCCTGAGCAGGCCAGAGGGCCGCCGAACCTTGGGGCACACTTACTGTTTCCAGAAGGTAGCTCTCTGATGATTGCGTTTGCCTGCTGTGTGTCCTGGCTCGCTGCACGGTGGCCTCAGTGTAACTTTGTGAGGCCCCTCAGCACCCTTGGGTGAGGGCGGCCTCACTCAGAGCCCATCCCCTCACTAATACTCTGGCCTCCTCACCTGAACTTTTTGAAAATAATCCAGGCAAAACTACATAGATGGCATTACTCTAATCAGCAGTACAAGTAAAACATTCAAGGGAATGATGTGAGTCCAGGAAGCACAGGCCTACAACCCAGAGCCATCGCGAGCGGATGCTACGCGGAGTTTTAGGCAGCAGAACCCAAGCGCCCAGTGGCTCAGAAGGAGTAACTGCAGTTCTGAGGAGATTGTCACTGTCGCCAGCTGTGAGGACCACAAAGAGGCCCTCGTGTCCTTCCCACTCCAGATGGGGCCGGGAGCCCTGCCCCCGAGCCTGTCTGTGGCCTGTGTGGCCTGCTCACCACACTCCAGGGCCAGGCACACAGCAGGTGCTCAACCCTCGGCACCCAAGCCAGTGTTTGACAGGCAGCGGGGTGACCCCCAAGGACCAACTCCTTGACCCCATGCTGGTGCTGTGCTGGGCCCTGGGGGCCCCAATCTGCCCTCCTCCACCAGGTAGCTGGGTCTCACCTTGCGGTAGGCTGGGCAGAAACTGTGTGCCAGCCTGCGCAGGCTGCCCAGGTCCCGCTGGAAGCCAGCCAGCTCAGCACCAGACGCGTGGTAGGTCTCACCCAGGGCCTGGCTGGCTCCTGCCTGCTTCTGCCAGAGTGCTGTCCGCAGCGACAGGAGCAGGTCAGAGATCAGCAGCTGGACCACCTGTAGGGTGGGCCACAGGGGAGGAGACGGGTGACGGGTCTATTGCTGGAGTAGAGGTCCCAGCACTTACCAGTCCTTCCCAGCCCAACCCCCGGCAGCTCCAGGAGAAGGCCACCCTCAAACAAAACCTGGCGCCTCTAAGGGGTCAGCTCAGGGAGGACCTATGGGCGGTGCAGTCACCTGGGACTGATTCTGAGAGCTGTGAGGCTGGATGGGGTCTCCCTCTTCGGGGCCCATTCTCCCACCCAGAAACATAGCCCCAAGGGTGCTGGCAGCCTCTCTCCTTCCCCAAACTCAGCAGAGACTGGTTCTCTCCTGAAGACCAGCAGATGAAAGGCACGAATGAGGTGTGGCCCCCCACAGGCCTTTGGTCTGGGGCCCATTCTGCACAATGCCTGTCCCGTAGGGCTGGCATCTGTCCTGGGTTCACCCAATGTCCTGGACCACTGGCAACCCCTAGCCAGAAGTGTCAGCCTGCTTGCCGCGGACCAAACTCCAACGAAGGGCTCAGAGTCTGACCCTCCAGGACATACCTCGTCCCTCCCTCTCTGGAGCGAAACCATGCTCCTCCCACAACGCTGCACGTCCAGCTGTGTGCACGCCTCCCTCCCCACTCCCGCCATGGCCCTGCGGGGATGGCCCTGTCCTCGAACAAGGCCAGGTGGGAAGTCTCTCGAGGGCTGGACAGGCCTCTGTGATGCACTGTGGAAACATTGCATGGCTACCACCAGAACATGCAATGCAACTACAATGCACCACAGCTGCCCGTGAGGAGGATGCGGCCAGTGCGCTCAGCGTGCTGTGTGCAAGTGAGGGGTGGGGGCCACTCCAAAGCTGGCCTGCAGGGACGTGGGGGTTGTGCAAGCTGCCTGGAGCAAATGCAGAGTCCTGGCCAGAAGGAAAGGTACAGGTGGAGCATGCCTGCCCCCAGGACTAAGCAGGGAGCCCACCTGGGCCAACAAGCTGTTTTGGGGCAGGACGCTGCTTGCCTAGCCTCTGGCTCTCGACCAGCTGAACCACAGTGGGGCACCTCCAGAGGAGCCAGTAAGCCCCCACTCACGTGATTGAGGGTGGGGTCGCAGGTGGCCCCACTGACAGTGAGGCTGCTCCACAGGTGACCGCTGGCCCTCTCACAGTGGCAGAGGGCACTCTGCTGCACGTCTGCCTTCCCAGGGAGCGAGGCGTGCATGGCTCTGCAGGTGTGGAGGACGGCCTTCACCAGGGGGCTCCTGGGTGGTGAGAGGAAGGAGGGAGCGTGAGGGGGAGCCTGAACAGGTGACCACCGCACCCCAAACTGCCATGACATGTACGTCTGTTGACTCAAATGCTGCCACAGAGATTCCAGGGCCCCAGCTCCAGATCTGGAGCACCAGGTGAGCGAGGGTGGCTGCCCACCTACAGCACCTCCTTCCAGCACTCCCCTTCTAGTGAGGGAGCCGGACAATAAACACGGGAAATAAACGCGGTAAGCACAATGGAGGGTGCCTAAAGGGCCATGAAGGAAGGCCGCGCAGAGGGAGCAGAGGGCATGGATGAAGAGCGGTCAAGGACGGCCTCTCTGGGAAGTTGATATTTGAGCAGAGACCTGAGTGAACTGGGGGAGCAAGCTGAGTGGCTTTCTAGGGAGAAGGTTCCAGATAGAGAAGCAGCCTCGTCCTCCCTCTCACTAGCTCTCCATCTGTCATTTGGTCCCCAGACTGCCTGACCCTTCACCCTGATGGCAACCCAGACCTACTCCCTCCCGCTAACCCAGACAAGCGAGCCTGGAGAAGTGGTCACAGAGGCTTACTCACTCGGTCACTTCCAGGGCCTTGGGGACACGCTCTACTTCGGTAAAATGAGCACGGACAGCCGTGTCGTCTCCCTGGAGCCAGCCGATGGCCATAGTGATGGCAGAAGTCCACCAACGACAGACGACGTCTGGACCTGAGGGGGGATGGTACCAAACGCCCTCCATCACCCAGAGACCTGTGAGTCTCAGCTTGCTGGAGGCACCTCGTCCCCACGTGGCATGTGCCATTCTTTCTTTCTTTCTTTTTTTAAGTACAGACTGTTTTTATCCATATATTAAATACCAATCTGGGCAACAGCAAAATAAGTAGCCTACAGACTCAAAAAATATTTTTTATACAACCAAGACATTATTTTTATTTTTTTTAAAAAATTATTTCATGTTTTAGGTGGTTTTTTTTTAAATATATTTTATTGATTTTTTTACAGAGAGGAAGGGAGAGAGATAGAGAGCTAGAGACATCGATGAGAGAGAAACATCGATCAGCCACCTCCTGCACATCTCCCACTGGGGATGTGCCCGCAACCCAGGTACATGCCCTTGACCGGAATCGAACCTGGGACCCCTCAGTCCGCAGGCCGACGCTCTATCCACTGAGCCAAACCGGTTTTGGCAACCAAGACATTATTAATACACGAATGAAACAAATGAAAAGCTAGTCATCATATCCTTAGAAGCTAGACCTTGATTTTAAAAACTTTCCATTGTTTCCTGTTTTCTCTGTTCATGACTTTATCGTAATTTTCTTTCTTTCTTTTGGTCTATGGTAAATTAAAATTTACAATCAGATTTACCAAGACTGTCAAGTCTAAGAAATTTCAGCTGCCCCCCACCCACACCATATACACATCACAGAAATTTATCATTGTGGTTCAAAATAACTGAACAGTCTAAAGTTTCTTTATTCCAAAAAAATAAATTACATAGCTTTTTTGGAACGCAGCACCTGCCCAGGTGTCGCTGCCGACTGCCGGCCATGCTGGGGACTTGCAGGCCCCTGTGCCATTCTTTTTGTTGTTGTTAATTTTCACCCAAGGATATTTTCCCCATTGAATTTTAGAGAGTAGAAGGGAGAAAGAGAGAAACATCGATGCAAGAGAGACACATCAATTGGTTGCCTCCCACTCGTGCCCTGACTGGGGCTGGGGAATCGAACCTGCAACCCAGATACCTGCCCTTGACCAGGAATTGAACCTGAAACCCCTTGGTGCTTCACTGACCTCTAGCCACTGAGCGACACCAGCCAGGGCTGGCACATGCCATCTTTACTTTCCGGTGATGGGCCAGGGGCCTCTGTTGCACTCTCACATTTCTTTTCTTTTTTAAAATATTTTTATTGATTTTAGAGAGAGAGGGAGGGAGATGGAGAGAGAGGGATAGAAACATTGATCAACTACTTCCTGCACACCCTACTGGGACTCGAGCCCACAACCCAGGCATGGGATGACGCTCAGCCAACTGAGCCACACCAGTCAGGGCTGCCCTTACATATTCTGGTGCAAGCATCACCAGCACCTTTTGGCAATATGTATCAAGAGTCTTAAAAATGTTCACTCCTATTAACCTGATAATCCCATTTGGGCAATTTATCACAAAGAAATTGACCTAAAATTGAGAAAAAAAGTTTAACAAAGACGTAGCGTTATTTGTAAATAAAGAGCTGGAAACACCTGAATGGCCAGCCATGACAAATGGCGTTTCCAAAGTACCTGAAGGAACAGGATCATGTTAGAACCTTTTAAAAAAATCCTATATAATAAAAGCCTAATATGCAAATCGACTGAACGGTGGAATGACCGGTCAGCAGGGGGTGGGGCCAGAGAGTGGATGGCGCCAAGTCAGCCAAGGCAGGTGCCAGTGGGCAGAGGGAGGGGACGGTGATAGGGGTGCGGCGATGATGACGGCAGAGGGGCAATGGGGGGCAGGACCACAGCTGCCCCCTGGTGATCAATGCGCTCCCACAGGGATGTCCGAGGGGAGCAGGCCTAATCCGTCAGTCGGACATCCCCCGAGGACTCTTGGACTGCGAGAGGGTGCACCGGGCTGAGGGACCCCCCCCCCCCCCCCCCCAGTGCACAAATTTCGTGCACCGGGCCTCTAGTATATATATTTTTATTAATTTCAGAGAGGAAAGAAGAGGGAGAGAGAGATAGAAACATCAATGATAAGAGAAAATTGTTGATTGGTTGCCTCCTGCACATCCCCTACTGGGGATCAAGCCCCCAACCCGGGCATGTACTCTGACTGGGAATCGAACTGTGACCTCCTGGTTCATAGGTCAATGCTCAACCACTGAGCAACACTGGCTGGGCACATGTTAGAACAGCGGTTCTCAACCTGTGGGTCGCGACCCCTTTGGCGGTCGAACGACCCTTTCACAGGGGTCGCCTAAGACCATCCTGCATATCAGATATTTACAATTCATAACAGTAGCAAAATTACAGTTATGAAGTAGCAACGAAAATAATTTTGATTGGGGGTCACAACATGAGGAACTGTATTTAAAGGGCCAGAGGTTGAGAACCACTGTGCTAGAACCTTTTAAGTCGTTTCCTCTGAGGCTTAGTTTTCTCAGCTGCAAATTTATGATACCAGTGATTTCCAGATGCCAGTGGAATAGACATGTAAAATAAAAGGCCTAAGAGCGTGTTCTAAACTCTGAAATGAAGACAGGCCATGAGGTCAGCAGTTGCCATAGGGCAGCCAGTTTTCTGCGATCCTTCCTTCCCTAGGGAGAGTGACTACCAGGGAGCATGACACCCCCTTTCTTCCAGCAGCCTTAGAAGCCCAGGAGGTGGCAGCTGATGTGCCATCATCCTGCTGGCATTTTAGAGACAGAAACAAAGAATGTCCTGGTGCAACTCAGTCAGCGATTGCCCTGTGTCACCCAAGGCCATGGGGAGCTGGAGCAGTACAGAAAGGTCTCTTCATCAGAGAGTGTCAGACCCAAGGCAGCCTGGGTGAGGTGGGCGACTAGGTGTCTGAAAGGTGAGTCCCCGCCAGCCCCTGGGCCCTGGACCACTTGCTGCCTGTCCTGCCCTGCCAGCCAGGACCCAGGCTGACCTGCCCTGCCAGCCAGGACCCAGGGAAGACATTCACGTGCCACTTCTAGGAGAATCATTATTTCCTGTGGGGAGGGCTTTGGGGGAGCTGTAGATACAAACCTCAGATCCAAAAGATTCGGGTGTGTACTCACAACTACCTGGGGAGGCTGGGATGGTTAAGCAACCCGGGCCCGGGAAGCCACCCTGCAAGATGCTTACCAAGGGCGGACTTGAGCACGGAGCTGCAGGAGAAGGGCGGGGTCACGATCCCCACAGAGTCCACAAAGGAATTAAGCAATTTCAGGTACTCGAGGGCACTGGAGAACTCACTAGAATGAAAAGAAAGAGTCCCATGTCCATCAGAATGAACACAAGGACCACACTAGTAGCCTGGCTGGTCAGTCCTCCAGCTCTGAGACCCAATGGCCGTTTCCGGCCCCTTCTCCTCCATGCCAGGCACAGCCTGAGCTCCGTGCCTACGCCCCTCGCACTCTCCACAGGCCTTCCTTCTTCTCATGTTACTGACACCGGCTTCCCTCTGCCTGCCAGGTGGGCCGGGCTTTCTCTTTCCTTCCTGGCCCCCAAACCCGACTCCTCCCCTCAAGGCCCAATTCAAATGGTACCACTCCCAGAACTTTTCTGATCTCTGGGGCAGAAATGCCCTCCCCTTCCCACTCAGGGGCATTTCAGTCAGGACCTGGGCCTTCCTTGTACGAGAATGATCTACCCCGCGAAGAAAAGACGGTGCTTATGAACTATGAGAGCATTAAGAACTTTCAGTAAAGGTCTGGGTCCCCAAGATGTCGGCCAGAGGTGGCTGCTTCTGCTGAGCTCTCCGCATTCCATTCCTCTCCCCTAACCGGGCAGCCCTCCCCACCCGAAGGAAACCACATCCCCAACCTGCTCCGAGAACTGACTCTGCCGCTGAGGGATGGGGAAAATAAAGGGGAAAGTGACACACAGCCTGGGAGCGAAGGGCAGCGGCCAAGTTGGAGGAATGCATACAAAGGAGGAATTCCATTTCCTATAGGCCCGTGAGGGCCTGTTTCCTCCAGGAGCTCGGGCCTCACAGCTGCCCTGGAGCTTCCCGGACAGACAGCCACGGCAGGGCCGTCGTGCGGACATTACCAGCTCTCTTCTTCCTGGTCTCCGGCCTTCGTCTTGGCCTGAGGCTTCACCAAGGACTCCACCGCTCGCTCCAGCAGGTTCTTGCAGAAGGCCTGGTGGACCTGGGCAACGGGGTCGGCTGAAGAAAAGGAAGCCCAGGAGAAGGGTTAAACGGATTTTTATCCATGAGCCCATTTTGTCTTTACATAGAAAACAGGGTGGGGAGAGGAACTCAAGATATAGCTATCCCATCCATGGAAGCTGGGGGTGGGGGGAGGAGCCGGGGGGCAGTGTCAGCCTCAGATGCAGAGCCCAAGACTATGCATGGTTGTGGGTGGGTTGTGTGTGCGTGTGCGTGTACGTGTGCGTGTGCGTGTGTGTGTGTTGCCTTGGCAATGAGCTCAGTACTTCTGTTCAAGGCCAGTGGCTGCAAGCCTTGTCAGAAAACAGAAAATGGGAAGGCAGACGGCTGCCCCAAGTCTCAGAGGCCACTGTTCTCCCCGAGGCTCAGGAGGAAGCCACCGAGGAGGAAAAGGAGGCGACCGCTGCCTTGACACGACAAGGAAGACCCTGCTCCTGCTTTCCACAGCCTTGTCATAGGACCTGGGGCCAGCGACGGTTTGGCTGCATTGATTAATCAATAAGGGGCCCTGCAACACTTGCAACAGCTGACTGACAGCTGGAAGCCCCCACGCAGGCCCAAAGCAGGGCATCACCAGCCCCTCCCCTCCCCTCACACACACACGTGTGAGCCTAAACCTGACAAGAACAAGGAGGCAGGACACTTATGAACACATTCCAGGTGACAAGGTCTAGATCCAGAGCCTCCGAAAGGCCAGGTGTGGACAAAGCAGATGGGGGGGGGGTGGCGGCTGAGAGTCTTAGGTTGGCTTTTGCTTTTGTCTTTACTTCTGTGCACCATTCTCATATTGAGCAGTGAAGTTATTTTTTTTTAAAAGATAGTGGACGCTCCTCCTCTCCAAAATGTTTAACACACACACACCTGTCCCTGTGGAAATGCCCCTCTCCCCACACCCCCAGTGTAGAGAGGGGACCAGCACAGAGAGCAGAAAGCCACTGGCCACTCAAGTCTGAGTCAACCCATGCAGCCCCTGCCACTCCGAGGCCTGGCAGGTCGACTCCAATCACTGTCAAACACCAGGGACAGTGAGCGAGCATCTCCCGACGCCTGGAGCCCTGTCCCTGCACCCCTCTGAGCACGTGGTGACGCCTGTCGCCTATTGTTCCCTAACGGCTCCATACACGTCTGTCTGCTTTCCAGTGGGGCCTAGGCCAGCGAACAGCACTCCACACGTCCCCGTGTCGCCAAAGCGCCCAGAACAAGGGCAACAACATTCTGATTGATGTACGGAGCACGGGCTTGGGCTGTCAGAAGCTGCAAACCCAGCTTAGCTGCTGACCAGGCTCACGACCTCCCTAAGCTTCGGGGAAAACGAGACTGGGACATCCTGTGTCCCCATGGGTCCGGGGCACAGTCACCTCACCGTGCTGGTGGGTCTCGTCTTTCTCCAGTTCACAGTGGCTGCAGGGGTTCTCACCTGGGTTCCTCTGGGCACAGTACAGACTCTCCTTGGCAGCTGACTTCACTGACCAGCTCCGCTCCATGAAAAACTTCTGGCCAAGGGGGTGGCAGAGCCAGCGCAGCGAGTCAGGGACAGCATTGCGCTCGGGGCCACACAGACTCTGGGCTCGACTGAGGAAGTAGCTCTGTGGAAGGACAAGGACCACGTGTGACACCGGGGTGGCGGCGGGCTGGGGAAAGAGCAAGGGCAGGGCTGGGACCCTGAAAGTAAATGCCACCCCTGAAACTAGGGCCAGTGGCCCAGTGGCCCGCCTTCAAGGAAAGACCAAGGAAGACTTTGAAAGCCTCGTTGCTGGACAATTCAAGAGCCAGCAGCCCAGCCCCTTGGGCCTCTCCTCTGCCTGCAGGGTAATGACGTCACGGCCCCAGGAACAAGAACCACAGGGATAATGCTGTCTATCCTTGGTTTCAGAAGTTCTGTCATTTATGTTTAAAAAAAAAATTTTTTTTTATTGACTTTTAGAGAGAGAGGAGGGGAGGGAGGGAGAGGGAGAGAGAGAGAGAGAGAGAGAGAGAGAGAGAGAGAGAGAGAGAGAGAAACAAGGATGTGGAGAGCAAAACATCGATCGACTGTCTCCTGCACTCCCTGCAACCCTGGGCATGTGCCCTGACTGGGAATCGAACCGGTGACCTTTTGATCACAGGATGACACCCAACCAACTGAACCACAGGGCTAGGGTTGTTGTTTTCTAAGTGAGGATATCTTCAGTCTAAAACCCATGATTTCTAACCCATAAAGCCACCTGATACAGGCCGACCTGAATGAGCACAGAAGGCAGGAGGGGTGGCGGGGGGGAGTACAATGCACAGGGAGCTCAGGACTGGGCCAGCCCACAGACCCGCATGTCACACTTCTACCCTGGCCCCCACCATGAGCGGAGCAGCTGTCTCCTTGTCTGGTTCAGTCTGATGGTTCTGACCTTTCCTGGGCTCTAAGTAGCCATCAGCTAATATAACGGCTTCAGAAGATCTGAATGTCAGGATCAGAAATAGCATCGCCAATGCGCCACTCAAGGAACACGGCTGAGGAGACGGCTCCTCTCCATGGGAGTCTGGAGACAGCCGCTTGAATCCGAGAGAAAATGACCTGGCCAAATTGCTCTACAGACACACTCGAATATTATCACGGCACTCAGGAGGCCAGGTGGGGCATTTTGCTTCTGGTGGCACTATGGCCTTTCCTCCTCTTCACTGACTACCGTGCCTGAAAAAGGGTCCTGAAGAGCAAATGCAAAGGGATCCCAAGACCTTTTCCTGACCCTCAGGAGAGCGCTTGCTCAATCTGAGCTTGGACCTGAGCTTGGAATGGCAGTGCTTGGGGCAGCCGCCGAGGCTCCCAAGGAGGCTGGGGGTGGGCCGGTGGCAATGCCAGGGGCCCTGAAGTTGGAGAACCTTCTAACAGCTGGAAACTCTTCAATTCTCCAATGTCTCCCGAGAGTACCTGCCTGATGGCTGCTCAGGGGGAACCGAGGACATGGACCAAATGTCACCCACCAGCAGAAGCAGAAATAAGCCTGTTTGGGTTGCATTGAAAGAGGAACCCAGAGAAGCCATTTAGAAATCATTACGTTAAAATACATTTTAAAGCTGAATTCCCTAAAAAGAAAAGAAAAACCTTAGTTACAACAAATCTCAGTTGGGGTGGAGGAGAAGTTTCAGTTTAGTGGTTTGAATTAATAAGAAATATAAATCCTGGGTAATAGTCATCCATAGGACGGCTTCTAGAAGGGAAATTGAGAAAATAACTTCTATTGCTCTTTTAATTTTCTTAGCATTATCACCCTATGACAATTTCCCTAAATTTTATAGACACCAGAGCTTACCCAAGCCAGGGCCTTGGAGCCTCCTCCCCTATAACTCATCTGCTAATTGCCAAATCCAGCAGCGGAGGCAGGACACTCAGAACTGTTTATATCCTGAGGGCCAGTCCAACTCCAGGTTGTGACCTTATGGTTCTCAAATAGTGTGCCAAGGGCACCCTAAAGCACCACAGTGAACTCATGGCATGGCTGCGACAGTGAAATGAGTTCATGTTAATGAGTTCACAGGAATGGCTGGCACGGTTAATTGCTAGCCTTTGTTTTCTCCTGCTTCCCCAGTCCTTCTCCAGAGGAGGCAGAGGGCTGTCTCCCCGCCCACATTTCTGCTCTTCACTTTCCAGCGGCTGGCTAGAGTTGCACTTGTCGGAGATGATGAGTGAAAAGAAAGCTTCGTCGAAAAACAATACACAGAATGTGAAGTGTATGTTGAACTGGATGTTACATTTTTGAGGTAAATACAGCAATGCTCAGCATGAGATGGAGGTAGTTCAATCTCAACACGAGATCGCACGACCTTCCTTTGGTGATGTCACATCTTTGCGAAGCTGAGTTTCGGGGGTTGTAATAAAAAGCAAGTGCTGAGTGAAAGGAGATGTACAACAAGAAATGAAGGTGGTGGCATCCAATCTGACTGTGAAGTCTAAGAAGGTGTGCGGTGCCCAACAGACACACACAGCCCACTGGTAAGTAACTATGGTTAAGAAAAATTTCTCCTTTCAATTTTGTGTATTATTTTTTAATAGCTACTAAATTAAAACATAAATATCTGTAAGATATTTGTATCTAACTAACCAACCACAGAATTATTAGGCATTTCTGTTAGCCCAGACAAAACACGAAAAAACTACAGACACAAAGGGTGCTATGAACTGAGGAAGATAGGGGACCTCAGGCCTAAACCATTTCCAGAGGCCTCTGCTTATCGCCTAAGCCGCACTCACTTGCTAAATATGTTCAACTGAATCCAAAGCTTCTTCCTCATTAAGAAAGTACTGTCTAGGCCAGGCGTCCTCAAACTACGGCCCGCGGGCCACATGCGGCCCACCGAAAACATTTATCCGGCCCGCCGGATGTTGTTGCCGCCGCTGCCTGTCCTGCTTAGCAGCCGACTCGTCCTGGGCCCGCAGTGCGCATGTGTGGAATGTCTGAGGGACAGTGAACTGGCCCCCCGTTTAAAAAGTTTGAGGACCTCTGGTCTAGGCCTCTTTAATCTACCCCGTCCCAAAATAAGCAAGCGGATGAAAGGGGCAGTTACGTGCCCAGAGGGTCAGGTCCTCCCCTCTCCTCACCTTCTTGAAAACCGCAAAATGTCAACACCATTCATGGTATAGTATTTATACCCTCTGACCCAACATCACTGCTTTCTAGAGATGCAACCTGAAGTGGGTGCAGGCAGTGCGAGAGGACACTCCCGCAGCACTGCTTCTGACGCTGCTTCTCATGTCCCTCAGTAGGAACTGGCTCAAACAACAATGGTACACACGTGCTGGGGCCATGTGCCTCTGCAGGGCAAGGTGACAAAGGAGGCCCAAGACTTAGCGTTAGGTTGAAAAAAATCAAGTGGCAAAACGGATTTCTGATATGGTTATGTTAAATAAATTATAGCGCACACATATTAGTATATACAGGAAGAAAATTCTGAGGAAAGACACATCAAACTGTTCGCTGCTAGTCAGACATACCAAGTATTTTCCGGGAGGCGGGAGGTGGGGAGCTGATGGGCAGGACCAGTTTCAAGGGAACTGTTTTCCCGACCCGTAGCTGCCACACTCGTCTCCCACAAACAGGCTCTCTAATTCCCTTTGAAGGACAGCTGCATCTTAGCAATAAGAACGATAGGAACCCCAGTAGGAGCTGCGATGCCGAGATGATCTCAAAACTTATATGGGAAGGTGAAGAGCCAACACCAATCACTAACGCCAGAGGCCTGACGTTTCCAGATGTCAAGACATGTAAGACTCGGCCATTACGGAGTGTGGGGTGAGGGCACTGGACATACTAGAGCAGTGGTCGGCAAACTCATTAGTCAACAGAGCCAAATATCAACAGTACAATGATGGAAATTTCTTTTGAGAGCCAAATTTTTTAAACTTAAACTATATAGGTAGGTACATTGTTATTAACTTAATTAGGGTACTTCTAAGGCTTAGGAAGAGCCACACTCAAGGGGCCAAAGAGCCGCCTGTGGCTCGCGAGCCGCAGTTTGCCGACCACTGTCCTAGAGCATCCAGAGCAGACCCATCACACGAGCCCTTGATTTAGGAAAAGGGGCCTCGGCACAGCAGGAAAGGACAGCTATTTTAAGAACAGATCTGGGACAGGGACATAGCCATATGGAAAAAAAGTAGATCTTGCAACCCCCTACCTTAAATTCATACAAAAATCAATTTCAGGTGGAGATGGGCCTCTGTGTGAAAAGTACGAAATAAAGCACCCAGCAGCTAATACAGGAGACTACCTTCAGGACTTTTAGGTAGGACAGATTTATTAAACAGGACATAAAATGCCGAACTGTAAAGGGAAAGACTGTAAAGGGAAAGACTCATATCTCGATTTCATGAACATTAAGAACTTGTGCTCATTCATCGACACCACTAGACTAGATTGGAGAAGACACACGCAAGGCACACATCCAACAAGGATTGCAGCCAGATTACAAAGATCTCAAAAAGACAGACTCCCCAAATCAAAAACAGGGAAAAGACCTGACTAGGGTTTTCTCAAAAGAGACTACCCAAATAGTCAACAAACCATCCAAATGGCCAATGAAAAGGTCTCATCATTAATCAGCTGGGAAATTCAAATGAAAACCACCAGGAGATACCAGCAGAAGGGCTACAAAACCAAAACCGACACCGTCATGTTTCTGGGCGAGGACGCAGAACAACTGGACGCTGCTGGTGGAGTGGAAGTCGGCACAAGCACTGGGGAAAACTGTTCGGCAGCACCTACTAAAGCTGAGCCTCTGACCCAGCAACGCCATTCCTAGAGATGCAGCCACGTGCTCCCTCAGAGAGGAACGGGGACATTCACAGCAGCACTCACTATTCAAATAACCAAAACCAGGAAACAACTCCAAAGTCCATCTACAAGTCCCGCCTGACAATGGAATACTATAAAGCACGGAGAAGGGACAAGCCACAACTACATACACGTGCCTGGCCCAGAGCAGGGACTCAGTGATGTTTGCTGAGTGAACACTCAGCTCCAGTGCCTTTACTGAGGTACAGACACAAATGGAGATGTGAGCACCCTGCTTTAAACACAGCGGACTGCCCCGCAGCCTACCCAAAGCTGGCACTGGTACAGCATCCTGTCTGCTGGAGTAAGAGGAAGCCTGGGAGCCAGCTGAGAGCAGGGCCTGCGAATTCCCAAGGCTGGATCCACCCCAGACACTGGAGGCGCCTGATGACCACCCCAGGCCTGGCCATCATACCCTGGCCTGGGCTCCCTGCAGACCTGCACCAGCTTCCATTTCTGGATCCACAGAGCCGTGACCAACACAAAGTACCCAACAAATACCTTTTGAGCAAATAAATGAACCAGAAGACATGACCAGAAGATTGCAAGAATTTTTATCACCACTTGAAAGGCAGAAGAGCCCATATTAACTCCCAAATATGGGTCACTCTATACACCGAATCAATCTTATCGCCTGGCACCAAATTGTCCTGCTCATGCAGGTAAGGGCCACGAGGGGGGCATTTTGGTCTGCTTTGTTCACTGCTCTAAGCACCTATGGAATGACCCCTCTAGGCGGTCAGCACCCAAGGGCAGGGCCCATAGCTATTTTTGCACCTTAGCTCCTGGCTGGGGAAGACGCCCAGTGAAGATGGAGGGTTGGCAGAAGGGAACCGAAGGCACTCACCGCCAGGAAGCCCAGCTTGCCTCCACACCGGGTCTTGAGCCCCATGGCCGCAGTCAGGTGGATCTCCACCAGTGTGCTTGGTGGGATTTTCTCCTCTGCACATTCCGCCAGGTTCACAGCGCACAAAGCCATGTGGACGTCTGAACAGGCAGATCCCGCAGGGAGCTTCCCTGTGGAGGCAGAAACAGACACCAAGCCGAGCTTTTCCTGCTTTCCTAGCACAGAGTCACAGCAGAAACAAACAAGAAAGTACATGAACTCTGTGACCAGACAGTCCTGATGGGGTGCTGGGCCCTGCAACTTAGTAGCTGCAGGTTTCTCTCCACCTCACAGGGACACAAAAATGCCTGTCATGCCCATGTTCTGTATAAGGGGGCCTGCAGAGGACTCAGACGGGCACATGTAACATCTTCCAAAACTCAGCAGTGCAGCTGTGCTCTGTGCTGCAGCCTGTGTCCCCCAGCCTTGTGAGAGGTCATGAAGAACTTGAAATCACCGGATTTGAATTTATTTTCCCTTAAACAGACCCCATGGTATATAACCATGCACCCTTTGGAGAAAGAAACACAAAACTGAGCAATGATGGCAGACACATCTAAGGTTAGCAGCTGGACGGCCAGGAAAGGCTGATACGCCCTCCTCTATGAGGGCTGACAGCTCATCTGGGGGGACCTTGAAGTCAGGGGCTGAAGTGACGTTGCAAAGGCATGATGGTCCAGCAAGGCTCAGGCTTTCACAGGATTGGGAGGTGGCCAGGGCAAGCAGTAGGGGGAAAGCTGAGCCTCAGAGTGGGCCCATGTCAAAGGTCCAGACAGTGGCCAAGCAGGTCTCCCAATCTCACCCAGCCCCGCATTCTTCCCACTGGACCGCTGTTTTTATCGGAGTAGGGAGAGCTCAGCCCCCATACCTCATTCTGCATAGGTGTTAGGAGTCGGTCCCACTGGGTTTTCTCCTCTGAGGGAGGGAGGGCACTGGGCAGTGTGGGATCTGTGTTTCAGTTACCTCTGTCTCCTCAGTCAGAGCCTTGCACAGCGCCTGGCCCACAGCACTGCAGAACTGGTAAACGCTATGCATCCTTCTATGCAAAGCCAAGACTTTGCAGGAAGCCTTTCCTGAAATCCTTCCCAACAAGTACCCACCTCCACGGAAGCCCAATCTGTCTGCTCCCTCCACCACACTGAGCTGCCATCCACTTGCTGACCTGCCTGCCTGCCTCTCTGTTAGAACAGGAGTTTGTTGTGTGAAATAAATGACCATATTTCGTTGAATCAAAGATACCATCACTTTTAAGTTTCCCCATTAATTTAGGTACCACTAAGGAAAAAAACACTGCCAATGCAACCATGGCACATGGCATGCCACTGTGTAGAGGACACAGCCCCAATTGGAGATGATAATGAGAAAAAATGTGTGTGCCTTAGACTGATGCACTACGGTAATGAGCATCCTCACAGCTGTGGCTGCGGGCGGAAGGTCTGGCCAACCATCTAACAGAGCAGTGTACAAGGGGCGGCGACTGAGGCGGGAAACTGGCAAACCAAGCGAGGGTGGAGATGGCACAGGGCACCGCGTGGCGCTCACCTGTGATGTGCAGCTGGTGCAGCCTGTGGTAGGCCAGGGCGGCGTCCCGGGCACTGGCCTTGGCCTCGTCCACCAGGCCCGCTGCGGCGGCCGGGGTGGCGCGCCGGCACTGAAAGACCTTCTTGAGCAGCCAGCGCACCAGGCGCAGCTTCTGCAGGCTGTAGCGGATAACGTTCCAGGAGAGGCTGCAGGCCAGGTCCAGGCGGGAGGTGGGCAGCGCCCGGCCCAACACCGACAGGCAGGTTTGTAGGTTGGCAGCAGCCGCCGCAAAATCCCCCTAGAAAGCAGCAAGAAGGGTTAACGTTCACAGGCCTTACTGTGGTCTTTTGGTTTTATTAACATTTTTCGCTCTCCTTTCATTCTCCAGGTTATCAGAGTGATACATGCTCATTGAAAAAAATCTGGAAAAATTCAGAAAGCTAAAAAATCAGAAAAAAAGGAAATCATTTGTAATCTTATCCCATAGAAAGAATGACTACTGATATTTTTACTAAATTGAGATTGAACTGTGTTCTATCTTTGAGCAAATAATCTTCAGAGTTTCCCACAGTACTTTTATACATAAGATGACAACATGGGTTTAGATGAGGACTCATGTGATCTTTTAGGTTCTCAAAGTGTGGTCCCTGGAGACCAGCAGCATCAGCCCCTGGGACCTTGTTAGAAAAGCAAATTCTGGCTGTCCTACTCCCACCCTCCCGGACCTACTGAACCAGAACCTCGGAGGGCGGGCCTGCTAATGTTTGAGAACCACGGTTTTGGCAAATCCCCGGCTGAACCACTCTAACGAAGGATGTGGATGAACTACTCTGCCAACCTCAGAGCGTCTGTGGTCCTGAACTGAAGCCTGCTTTCTCGCTCTGTTTCTCTTGTTACTGGCGTTCGAAGACTCAGGCTCCCGTCTTGGGAAACGGAGGTAACCTCTCCTGTCCTTTCCCACGTCATGCAGTGAGGAGGAAACCCATGCTTGTCTTCCTGGCTCACTACAGGACCAGAGCTATCACAGGGAAAGTGGGTGACAGTGCTCCGAGAGTGACCATCTCTAAGGTGGCGGTGGCATCTTTCCAGCCAGGGGGAGCACCTGTATTTACAGATTCCAAAGGAGGTGCCTTTCCTTGTGCCCATGGCTCCTCTTCCCTGACTTCCCCAGGAAAGTTAGCTGTTCTCAAGGCTCAGACTTTGGTTCTTCCCACTCTTGCAGGCACCCTCCCAGCAGGTGCAGAGCTTCCGACACACTCTGTCCGACCGGCCTCAGCCTCGTGGCTACAGGGCCCTCTCACGGCACTTCCCAACACCGCGGCTTGGAGCCCCATCTTTGAGTCAATGTCACTGTCACTTCCTTTCCATGTTACATGTCAAATTCCTCGACATGCCTCTCCTTTCACTTCAGGTCCTTGCCACTCTCCCTACCTGCTCCTGTGCATGTGTCGCCCTCCTCTAACCCACCCTTCACCCAGCCGCCAGTCGCATTCTACGCACAGACAGAACCTGCCTCCAGGAGACACGTCCTGGGTTCTGTTCTCTGGGAAGAGCCCTACTTCAGGGGGTGGGCCCACGGCACCACACCTGCGTCCCGGGAGCCAGGGAGGCACAGGCCGAGGTTTTCTGCTGCCGAGGGTGCTCTGGTTCCTGGGCTTCCCAAGACAGGGATGTTTGACTCTTCCCTCAGGGCTGAGTTCCCCAGAATCCTACCTATAAACTCTCTTTTGCTGATTTCAAAACAAAACTAAAGCTAATTTTCCTGCTAGAAATCTTCCTGGTTCTCCACAGAACTGGGAAAAAAGCCCCAAACAGTTACTAGTCGAAGACCTCCCCTGTGTGGGCCCTAGCGACACTCCCAGCCTCAGCTTCTCTCCTGACATTCCCTACGCTCCAGGTACCCCCATCTACTTGCCGGTCCCCAAATGTCCCATGGAGGCACGCCTTCCTCTCCGGTTAGCCGGTCCTTCCTGCGCTTGACCACTCTGCTCAAGCCCCAGATTCCTCAGCCAGACGCCTCTGCCCCAAACTTCCACAGCACTTTAGTCTTCCTGTCATCTCGTGTCCGTGGAATTATTTATGCATACGTGCCTCTGCTCCACTGCCGTGATAGTCAGGGGCAGGGTCCCTTCGCCCTCTCAACACCCCGGCCACCTTCCCCTGCAAGCACCTGCCACAGGACGTGTTCACTGGGGTATTCATACAAATTGCTAAGTTACTGGCTCAGCCCGGGGGGAAGGGAAATGTGAAGGGCGGAACTCACCCTGGCCAGGTCCAGGTCTGCCTGCTTCCGGTGCCTCCAGAAGGTGACGGAGGAGCGAGAATGTGGCCGGATCACTGGCTCCCCATGGACCAGCAGCTTCACAAAGACGCTCAGGACAATCACTCCATTGACCAGCCACAAGAGGAGCGTTGGCATCATCCAGTCGAACCAGCCCCCAGAACCTAGAGAGCAGCGCCTCAGTCAGCCTGCGAGGAAGGCCCTGGAGCAGCCCTGGGCTGCAGGGCGCCTGCTTGGCCCCTGGCATTGTCTTTGGGCAGCTAACAATACCGCTTCATTATTAACAGTGTCTCAGTGCTTAGATAGCAATACTCCACATGACAGGAAAATGTGAGACAATTCTAGAGCTTAAATAGCAACCTTGTAATCCCTGTCACTATGGAGTTCAGTGCCACAAAAATCTTTGTTAGCCAAGGGGGTTAGGCCACTGGTTTCATGACTTAGGAAAAACACCACATCCTTGTTCAAGTAGCCCCCCTACCTCGCCTCCCCTGGTGCGGCCAGTGTGGCTCCATGGTTGAGCATTGACCTATGAACCAGGAGGTCATGGTTCGACTTCCCACGCATGCCTGAGTTGTGGGCTTGATCCCCAGTAGGGGACGTGCAGGAGGCAGCTGATCGATGATTCTCTCTCATCAGTGATGTTTCTATCACTCTCCCTTCCTATCTGAAATCAATAAAAATATATATTTTTAACAGGCCTCCTCCCAATCCTGTGCCTGGGGAATTATAGCAGTGTGGGTTCCCAGTTTATTCTGCTCTTTCTGACGGAACTCAGGTTTGCTGTTACTTGCAAACTGCGACTTATGCCAGCCCTACCAGAAGCGAGCAGCCGAGGATCACTGCCAAGGCCTCTGGGCCCTGGTGAGCAGGCTGAGCAGTCTGCCCACCACAGCCCACTCATGCGGTGGCACAAGGGGGCCTCCACCCACCTGACTCCAGTGACAGTACGCTGCGGCCAGAGCCTGAGGATGGGTGCAGGTCAGAGTCGTGGGCCCCTCCCCACCGCAGCAGGGTAGTCAGGGGGTTAAAGGACAGGCACAGGAAGGTGAGGAAACACAGCAGGATTCGAGAGCGGTCCACCATGCCCAGCGCCATGGGAGGAGAGTCCGGCTCATCTTTGACCTTCAACACAGGGCCACAAGGTTAGAGTGAATGAGTGCTGCCTGGGTTTTCACAGCATTTTACTTTTATGTGGATCAGAATCAGGTTGTGAGATTTACATTCAAGATCACTGAGCCAGACAGGAGTAAAGCCAGGAGGAAGCTGCCACTCAACCCCAGCACTTGCCCTCTTGCCACCTGCGAAACAGCATGTTCTGAAGACAAAAGGCAGACGAGCTGTGCTTTTCAAAAAGAGCTCTCTCAACAGAGCACCGCACGGCAGTTCCTGTGTGGGTCCACAGCAGGCAAGGCTAGTCAAACGGCAGAGCTCGGAGCCGCCCGAGCTGGAGCGGGGTGTGAACTACCTGTACAGAGAGCTTCGTGGGTGATGGAAATGTTCTGCATCTTGATTATGGTGCCACAGTGTATATATCTGGGAATACTGTGCAACACTGTGAAATAGGTGCACTTTATCACACGTAAGTTATACTGCAATAGCGTTGGTTACAGATCATACCTCAGCATGGATCTAGGTACAGGAGCCTATTTTGAAACCACATGTTGCCTTTTTCCCCTCCCCACTTGACAGAGGGAGAACTGGAGGCAGAGGCCTGGCCCACCTGGCACCGCCAGAAAGGGAGGGAGGCTGGGGTCGAATCTCTCGACTCCCAATGTGCATGTACCATGCCACTCATTTCAATATTTTAAAGTCATTTGAAAATTTCTTATGTTGAGATACCTAACTAATTTCATGTATACATCATATGGCCTTTTGTTATCAAACAGAATCACATTTATAAAACATTTAAAAAATAGAGCTTCCTTAATAAAATGAAGTATATGATACTATGCAAAGTTTGAAAAGGATCTTGGCAGGGAACTCTGTGTTTTCAGAGTCAGAAAGCGCCAATGTCAGCACACAGTGCAGACCCAGTGGCTGCCACGGGTTCCCAGGAAGACCACTGGGCTCGAGCTTCTTTTAACCAAGCCCATTAAACAGCAGTTGCCGGGGGCTTTCTTGGTCTATGAAAGGGCCCTGGTTTGAAGTTATTTGTTCGACTGCAACAACTGTAATCATTTCTGGAAGAGGGCCCAGAGGCAGCCTCATCCTAAACCAGTTGATGAACCTCACAAAGTGGTCTTGCCAGGCCCATTACGGCAGGGGAAGTAATGAGGCGCCTCTAGCAATGCCTCGCGCCCGCATGACAGCTGCTGTTTCCGCTCTGGATCTGGCCCTCATTCCTCTCTGATGGGCCGTTTCAGCAAAGACCCGTTCAAGCAGACTACACCGAACCACTTAAAGACCCCGACTGTGTCGTCCCCCCACCCTGCGTGTCAGTTTTCTCTTTCTTTATTCTCCAAAAGCTGGCTAATTTCATTGAATTCCCGCTCCTTCCCAGCCCAGGTACCAGTCTGTGTCCCCCCACTCCCCACCCACTATTAACTTTGGAGAGATGGGAGAGATCCAGAGGTTGGAAGATTTCGAAAGCTCATACCTTTGCCTCATCTAACAGAGGGCTTCCGGGCTCAGAGTCGATGGAGTAGGGGGAGAAGCCGGCCTGGGACCCCGAGTCAGAGGCCGGAGGGGACATCAGGAGCACATTCTGATTGAAGTCATCCATCTTCAGGTCCACATCACTGTCCACGAGGCTGCCTAGGTCAATGCCCTTCAGGAGCTCTGCAAAGAAAACCCGACCTGGCAAACGGGCTGTTTCTATAGAGTCCACCTGGGCTGGGCAGGGGGCTGGGCTGGGCTAGATGAGGGGATGGCCCCACTCCTGCTCCACCCCCGGAGGCACCTCTTCTGCATCAACGGGCCCTCCCGGGTGCCTGGCACAGGACTTCTCCTGCAACCTCGCCTGACAGCCGTTCTCTCAATGAGCACTCACTGTTCTTCTGACTCGCCAGCTTCAGCACCATGTTCTCCTGGCGCAGTTTGTGATTGACCTGCTGCAAGTATTTGATGTAGTCGATGGCCTTCCTCAAAACGCCAGACTTGTGCATCTAGAAGGGGACGGGTGAAAACAGTGGCATAGCGCAGGCTGCACAGTGAGGAGGGCAGAGGCCCCGAGCTGGTGGAGTGACAGCACGGCTCTGGAGCGGGAGGGGCTGAGTTCAGATGCTGGCTCCCCCACTGATTAGCTCTGCTATCAGGACAAAGTGCACTTTCCCCCCCTTATAAAGGGGATAATGATGATTATATAAATCATAGGCTTGCAGTGAGGGCTAAATGAGATAATACACAGAAAGAGCTTAGCTCCCAGCCTGGCACATAGACACTCGATAAATACATTTAGCTGTATGACAACTTCCTATAATAATACCAGCATCAAAAAAACTTAAAAGAAAACAAATGACAAAAAACCAGAACACTGTTGGATGGTTATTTTAAGTAAAGGTATATTAGGTACCTTTCAGATTTGTAGGCTACAAAGGAAAGTCAATTTTTAAAAAAATATGTATTTTTATTGATTTCAGAGAGGAAAGAAGAGGGAGGGAGAGATAGAAACATCAATGATGAGAGAGAATCATTGATCGGCTGCCTCCTGCACACACCCCACTGGGGATCGAGCCTGCAACCTGGACCTGGGCATGTGCCCTTGACCAGGATCGAACCTGGAACTCTTCAGTCCGCAGGCCGACGCTCTATTCACTGAGCCAAACCGGCTAGGGCTCAAATTTTCTTTAAAAAATAGAGGTGAAGCCGAACCGGTTTGGCTCAGTGGATAGAGCGTCGGCCTGCGGACTGAAGGGTCCCGGGTTCGATTCCGGTCAAGGGCATGTGCCTTGGTTGCGGGCACATCCCCAGTGGGGGGCGTGCAGGAGGCGGCTGATCGATCTCTCTCATCGATGTTTCTGGCTCTCTCTCCCTCTCCCTTCTTCTCTGTAAAAAAAATCAATAAAATATTAAAAAAAAAAAAAAAATAGAGGTGAAGATAAACAAATAAGTCTATGTGCCAGAGATACATTCATTGAAACATTAGAAATATATAAAAAATCAATTTCTTCTATTTACTGTTGATCCCAGACCCAATTCCAGTTTCTCTCATCCCCAGCAGGTAAAAATATTGCTAGCCGCCCTGAGCACAATTAAACATAGGACAGCAATGCCATCAGCTGATGTCAAGGTACACAGCTGTGTGCCTGGCCCCCAGTGAGTGGCAGGCGCTTCTCTGCCTGTGACTCTGGGGGCCACGATCACTGCAGAGCAGAGTCAAAGGTCCAGGAAGAGCACTGCTTACCACCCCGGCCGTCCCCTTATGCTGATTAACATTCTGTCATCTTAAAAACCCTACATGCTTTCATAAGAAAGCACCCAATTTGCATTCACTCATCGTGGGCCTGTAGATTCCTAAATTTCCGAGGCAACATGTAGAGGGGAGATGGTAGGGCACGAAACACCACTTGCTTGGCACCTACCTTGGCATCTGTCCCCATGACCAAGTCCTTCAACTCGATGATTTTGTCATTGATGGAGGAGCGATACCGCTTCTCAATGATGTTGTGTGTCGTCCGTCTTTCTCCTTCTTTGGGGGGTTCAAGCTGCTTGACTCCCCCGGGTACCTGCTTAATGGGCACTTTCTCTTGCCCCATCATCACAGGCATTGTGGTCAGAATGGTCCCACTGCTGCCCACCAGGGTCTAGAATAGGCACAGACACAGGGCAGAATTCCCCCTCGGTTAGTCTGAGTAAAGCAACCTCACAAGACAAACCTGTAGCTTGTCCATGTGCCATCACCCGGCAATGCTTTCTGTGGCCTAAGACCCTTTCTGGGTTGTCAGGCCCCAAGCAGCCTGAGGGGCGATGGTACCTCAGTAGCTATGCCTCTTTCAGAATCACTGTCCATAAAAACACTTCAATAGGATTAAAGTGGATAAACGTGTCTTATCCTTGGATCTAGGGGGTCCAGGAACAAGTCATATGATTTCTGCTTTGCTGTCAAACCATTAACCACCCCTGAGCTGAGCTCACATACAGCACATCGCTCTGGCCCCAGGGGAAACCTTCTCCCAGTATATGACACATCCCCCGTCACATGACAGTTAAGCAACTTACTGCCTTTCCTTATACAATCTGGCTATCAAAAAGCTCAAGGGTAGGACTGACACTCTCATCAGAGCCAATTTATTAAATAAATAGGCCAATCATAGGGGCTCCCCGTTTACCCCCTTAAATCTGCTTTCTCCTGTTTCTATTTTTACTAATTTTAGTTTTATTTTGTCCAATAAATGGCCTCAAATATCCAAACGACCAATGCACAAATAAAAAGCTGCTCAACTTCATTAGTTACCAAGAAATAATTTGCACAGAATAAGAAACACACATTTTAAGTGTACAGCTTCAACTGTTATGTATGATAACCCAGATCAAAACAGAGCATTTCTACCCCCTAAAACAGTGGTTCTCAACCTTCCTAATGCCGCGATCCTTTAATACAGTTCCTCATGTTGTGGTGACCCACAACCATAAAATTATTTTCGTTTCTACTTCATAATTGTAATTTTGCTACTGTTATGAATCGTAATGTAAATATCTGATATGCAGGATGTATTTTCATTGTTACAAATTGAACATAATTAAAGCATAGTGATTAATCACAAAAACAATATGTAATTATACATATGTTTTCCGATGGTCTTAGGCGACCCCTGTGAAAGGGTTGTTCGACCCCCAAAGGGGTCGCGACCCACAGGTTGAGAACCACTGCCCTAAAAGTTCCCTCATGCCTCTTCCCAGTAACGCCTGCCCCTTCCTCCTGTGAGCAACAGCGTGGTGTTGCTCTTCCTGAACTTCACGTAAGTGGAGTCATTAGCACGAGCTCTTTCTTGACAGGCATCTTTTGCTCAACATACAGCATCTGAGGTTCAATCATGAACTCATATGTATCAATAGTTCTTTTTGGATGGACATTTGGGTTGCTTCCAGTTCTTGGCTTTTATGAATAAAGCTTGCTTTCAAATTCTGACCACCTTTTACTCTGTCAGACTCTCTTACTAAGATGCTCAAAGTGGCTGAAACCCTACAACTGAAGGACGGATGCCTTCCATGTCCCTCACCTTGGAGCCCTCCCTGCCTAGTGGGTCTAGGGTCCTTCAGAGGCCCAACCTCACTCAGCACAGGACCTGAGAGGCAAATGGTCTTGAGCGGAGCTGTTGTCCAGGAAATGGGGCTCCTCTGCTGTTCCTGAGCAACTAAGGAGGTGACGTTGCAAAGTGACTGACATGTCATAAAGCTCCTGCACCTACTCACACAGAGGCTAACACCTCCCAGAAAGGAGGCAGAAGGGGGAGGGCGAGAGGGGTGTGGGGTGTGGAGGTGGCTCTTACTGGTACTTGCAGGGCGGCTGTCTGAATGGGGGTGGTGAGGGCGGTGAGGGCTGGGTTCTGGACTGTGGCCATGACAGGGCTGCCATCTGTCTTCAGTGTGGTCAGAACAAGGGAATCTGTTTTGATGATCTGGGGCTGTACCAGGACCTGGATGGAGAAGGAAGAAAAGAAAGAGGGAGGTGCATTACCTCTCTATTTTGCATTAGCTTCTAACTGTACAGACCCTCCAGGAAAGAAAGAGAAAATAAAATTGTCATGAAACTGAGAATACAGCTTGATTACTGGGTTAAGGAGGAGAAAGAGTCCTGAGTGTCAAGGTGGAAAGGCTTAGAGGAGAGCAGTGCCAGAGGCCTCGCAGGGGAAGAGCGGGCACGGCTCGGTGAGTGGTGGCGGGGAGAGAGGTCTGGTTTTGGACATACCCAGGAAAGCCAGGAACCTGGCTGAGAAGCAGAAATGATAAACCAAGAAAAAATTTTAAAGATAAATTACTTTGCTAGTAAGAAAATTCAGTGCCACTATGATACATGACTTAACATTTTAGCACATTTTTTCCCGTTTTATGCCCATTATCTGTATAAATAATACACCTGCATTTACGGACTCTATGTGAGTGCCAGTGTACATCCTCAGATGCCATCCCAGCCAGGTCTCTATGCCAAGCTCACTGGTGCCTTATAGGGCCCAGGCAACCCTACCCACCCTATGAGCTACTCCCCACACTCCGATGGTCCTTCTTAGTATGTAGACCACATCTTCAACCAATGACCAGCCAACAGCCCCAAGCAGTGCCTCCCTGAATCCTTGTCAGCCACCTACCGGGACCTGCTGCACCTGGGGCGCAGCCACTGTCTGCACCGTGGCTGGGGCGAGGGTCTGCAGCGTGCCATTGGCCGTCTGCGTCAGCACCCGCTGGGCCTGCACTGTCTGCACCTGCTGCTGGATGGTGACCGGCTGCACCTGGGAGGATGTCACTAGGCTTTGGACTTGAGGCTGAAGGACTTGGGAGAAGAGGAGAAAAAAGTCACATGGACGAGGAATGCATTCTGTCACTGCAGCTGCAGCAATAACCGAGGATGGAGTGCCTCATAATGATCCAGACTCCCGACTCCCCACCTGCTGCTGAGAAGACGTGCACAGCCATTTACAAGCTGCTCTCATAACAAGAACATCCCAGAAGGGCTGCATCCATTTCTGAGGGAACGAGTGCAAATTATTTTATTATTCTGGGTGCTGGGGTGGAGGCGAGGGAAGCTAATCAGCGAATGACTGTGCCCAGCAAGGGAGTTAACAGATTGAACAGAAAGTGTACTTTGGGATGACTATCTCAGTGTTTTGCCTGTATGCCTCCCCCCATCCCCTAAACCAGGGATGGGGAACCTTTTTTTTCTGCCAAGGGCCATTTGGATAATTTTAACATCATTGGAGGGCCATACACAATTATCAACTTAAAAATTAGCCTGCTACATTTGGTCAAACATTGAATTAACTCACCCCTAATGCCTTGGCAGGGCCAGACCAAATGATTTCTCGAGCCTGATACAGCCCTTGAGCTGGATGTTCCCACCCTGCCCTAACCCTTGAAGCCCACTGTAGAACTGTCAGAGCATACTAATCCCCCGGGGCTCCCCACAGGGCACAGGGTATCTGATGAAAAGGCACTGGGACACAGCACAACAGGGAAAGTCACTCCTTCACTCAGCACACTGAGGGCCTGCTACTCGGAGACTCAGCACCTCCGCTGAAGTCATATTCTCTGCAATGGATGCTCAGGAGATGTTTGCTGAATGAAGAGTTCGCAGCCTACAGGTGCCAAGGTCTGGCTGTTGCCTGGGTAAGTTTCAAGACTAATTTTACTCAAGCCTCCATCTGTAGTTACCAGGACAGCCCCGTGTCTACTTGCTTGCTGGCAGGCACAACAGCTATTAAGGCACTTGAAGAGGCAGCGTATGAACTGTTCCCGGACCACAGTTCTGACTGGCAGTTACCAAAACCTCATTGAGACAGAACTATTTACAATCTACCTCGGAAGTATCAGCAAACTGACACACAAACTTTTCAACCACCGTCACTGCCACATCCGACTTCTGAATCACCTTGGAAGCTGGTAGCCGCATTCTGGTATATCAGAGGCTGCTGGATGATCCTCGTCTGGGGAGCAGTGCTGAATGTTGGGGTGATCATTACCGTCTGCTGCTGCAGCTGAGCTTGAGGCTGGGGCTGGGGGCGGGGCTGAAGAACGGGAGTTGCCCTTGGCGGGTTAGGAACCGAGGTGGGGGAAACCTTGACCTGCAGGGCTGCAGCCTGGGGGGAGGTGGCTGAGGGAGAGAAGGAAGGTAATGGGACCTGGCTGAAGGAGCGCTGCATCGAGGGCTCCCCGGCTCCACCACCACCGGCTCCACCACCGCTGCCCCCGCCATTACTGCTGCTGCCGCCGCCACTTCCGCCGCCACTTCCACTTCCACCGCCACTGGGGAAGGAGCCACACAGCTGCTCCGAGAACAAGTCAGAAAACTCTCCCACTTGATTGCTGACAAACTGCAGCATCTCTGTGAACAAATGAGAAGCAGCCATTTTATTGACATCCAAAATATTTATTAACTTTCAAATTTGCTTAAGAAACAGGCATGAATGCCGTAACCGGTTTGGCTCAGTGGATAGAGTGTCAGCCTGCAGACTGAAAGGTCCCAGGTTTGATTCCGGTCAAGGGCATGTACCTTGGTTGCGGGCACATCCCCAGCAGGAGATGTGCAGGAGGCAGCTGATCTATGTTTCTCTCTCATCGATGTTTCTAACTCTCTATTTCTCTCCCTTCCTCTCTGTAAAATCAATAAAATATATTTTTTTTTAAAAAAGAAAAAGAAAAAAAAAAAGAAACAGGCATGAAAGTCCAATGGCATTTCCAAGATCAGAGCAGAAAGGGGTCAGGAAACCCTCCCCTCTCTCTCAGGTGGGTTATCACCTGGGCCAAGACAGCCCCCTGAGGGACAGCTTTATCTGTTTGATGTTGTCTCTTGACCCCACCTCCAGGCCCTTTCTTCCCTCCTTCCTGATTATATCAGGCCTATCAGGAACCACCTCTGTGCTGGGTGAGGGTTATTTTTGGAGGGTATTGCTGGTTCCATTTTAGAGCTGGGACACGGGCAGAAAGTGGGTAGTCACTGTCCTGAGGCTTTGGAGCTCAGAACCTTGCTCTGTGAGGCCACCTGCAGGTGCAGTACTGCTCCCATGAGGGAGAGGTGGCTGCAGACCCAACTCTCCCTCACCCAGGCAGCCTTCCCTCCTGACCACAGGCAGGCTCTGGGCTTTCTCTCCAAGATGGGCATAGCCCTGGGCACTACTGGTACCCCCAAGAACACTGAGGGACAATGAAGTTGAAGGGCCCCATGTCATGAATCTTTAGGGGTGGAATGGGTGAAAAATCACCCATGAAGTCCAGAATAGGGAAATAACTTGGCCAAGGCCACAAAGCTCATCAGGACATGCCAGGTTTCTGCCCCCAGTGCATTCACTGCCAGAGGCTCCGGATGGAGCAACCTGCGCCTTGGACTCCATGCTTTGGAGGGCCCACTCTGGCCCTCTTCTGGCTGTGCCCCTTCCCCCTGGGCAAGGAGCCTGTGGGACCAACAGGATGCGTCCCCCTGGAGACCATGCTCCCCTCTAGATCATGCTCTAAGTCCCTGGGACCCCTGAATTCCTGGCCCAGAGGCTTCAAGTCTGCTTCCAGGGCCTCTTCCGAAAGTTTACCAAAACCCAGCCTAATCCATGACTCATCCTCATGACTTCTTCCTTCCTCCTCCTAGGGCTGGTCCCTGTTAGGAGTCTAGAGCCTCAGCTTTGTCCCAGGTACTTTTTAGATCTACAATTCTCTACACTGTCCACATATTGCCCTCCCCCCGCATCCTCTCCAATACATTCCCAAAGAGTTACTGCTTGTTCCTGAATTGTGGTACCCCCTTCTCCACACCCTCAAGGCCACAGGATGCTCTGATTTGGTCACCAAAATAAAAAACAAAACACAAACAAACCCCCCAAACACCACTTCCCTTATTTCCCCCACACCTCCACCAGCAAGTCCCTCCCAGGACTCTAACAGAACCGGGTGGTAGCTGAGCCTGGACTATGAAAAGTCTCATGTTAGGCAAGCAAAATGCTAATGGGGGTTTCCATATCGGACAACTGGAAGTTAGCACTTCAGCACTTTAAGTGTCTAGTTAATTCAAACTGCTGGCAAAACAGCATCTAACAAGATTGAAGGCTGCATAGTGGTTATTTACCAACACCTCGACCCTGCTCTGCCTCCACTCGGCCTATTGTGAGAGAGAGAGATCGCCACACATACTGTCACTTGTACCAACCAATTTCAATTCCTTAATACATGATTAAACTAAGAAATGTCCTCAAACTCAGCACAAAATTTAAACAAAATGCAATTTGGTGCTGACACATTCCAAGTACAATACCACAAGATCATAAAAAGCTTTAAGAAAATGATTACGAGAAACCTAATAATTTGTTGAGCTTTCCGGAATCCCCATAAAACACTGTGTCTGAGGAATTGACACAGAAGCCTGCTTTGTGCCAAAAGAACGTCACTCCCTAGCTGATCTGTGAGGCCACCTCCAGGACTAGGAATCTTATTTTAATCCATGGAACACTAAGGAGGGCAAAAGGCAAACGGGGCCAGGGGCCTGGTAGATGGGCACAGGCTCCGGCACTAGGTGGGTCTCAAGCCCACCTAACCTGCTGTGTGAACGTGGGCAAGCCACTTCTCTTTTTTTTTTTTTTTTTTTTTAATATATTTTATTGATTTTTTACAGAGAGGAAGGGAGAGAGATAGAGAGTTAGAAACATCGATGAGAGAGAAACATCGACCAGCCGCCTCTTGCACATCTCCCACTGGGGATGTGCCCACAACCCAGGTACATGCCCTTGACCGGAATTGAACCTGGGACCTTTCAGTCCGCAGGCCGACGCTCTATCCACTGAGCCAAACCGGTTTTGGCAAGCCACTTCTCTTGATTCCCTCACCACAAACGGCCACCTTAAGAATACACACCTTATAAAAAAAAAAAAGAGAATACACACCTTGCCCTAGCCGGTTTGGCTCAGTGGATAGAGCCTTGGCCTGCAGACCGAAAGGTCCCGGGTTTGATTCCAGTCAAGGGCACATGCCTGGGTTGCGGGCTTGACCCCCAGTAAGGGGCGTACAGGAGGCAGCCAGTCAATGGTTCTCTCTCATTGATGTTTCTATCTCTCTCTCCCTTCCTCTCTGAAATCAATAAAAATATATTTAAAAAAAGAATACTCACCTTAAGAATGCTATCCTGACTTATTTAACAGCTTAGATTCTTTTTCTCTATTTTTGCACTTTATATAAATGGGTCATACAGTATGGCCTCTTGCTCTCAACATTATATCTGGAAGATTCATCCATATTGTTATATGTAATTATAGACTTTTCGTTTTCATTGCTGTAAAGCATCTCACTGGGTGAATATATCATGTCACTGATGACATGGGTAGTTTGAAGTTTGGGACTATTACATGTGTTTTGATGAACACGTGTTATGTCTTTCTGTTGGTAATTCATGATATTTGTAACTTATTTGTGTATGAAGCAGGGTTTTTTTCTGTTTAGTTCACTTCTATGTTCCCAGTGCCCAAGATAGTATCTAGCACATAGTAGGTGTTCAATAAATATTTGCTGAATGAAAAGAAAGAAAAAAAAGGATCCTCACTTGGCTTGTTGTTGTGAGGATTAATAATTTACGCAAAGTGCTTGGTGAGGGTCAGACCTTCGCAAAGGTCCCCCTTAGTGGTGCTTCTAGAGCAGTGGTTCTCAACCTTCCTAATGCTGCGACCCTTTAATACAGTTCCTCATGTTGTGGTGGCCCTCAATTTCATTGTTACAAATTGAACATAATTAAAGCATAGTGATTAATCACAAAAACAATGTGTAATTATATATGTATTTTCCGATGGTCTTAGGTGACCCCTGTGAAAGGGTCGTTCGACCCCCAAAGGGGTCGTGACCCATAGGTTGAGAACCGCTGTTCTAGAGCATCCACTACACAGGCACTTGGCTCCACTTACATCATCCCCTTGAGTGCTCTCCAAAACCTATAGTAGGGAAGACATGGTGGGCGTGATGAAGCAACTCGCAGAGGTCCCGAAGCTTAGTTCGCAGAGCAGGGTAAGAATGTGTAGGCAGATGGTATACTTAAATTAAAAAAATAAATCCTTTCAACCCACACTTGACAAGCTCCAGTGCGTTCTCTCCAGCCAGGCAGATGGGCACTGGGCTTATTGGCGCAGAGGGACCGTTAAGACCCAGCATCTGAAGGAACAAGTAACAGGAAGAAGCTCTTGAGCCACTGCTCCTGCAGGGTGCACAGGCCTCCCTGGGACTCCCATCTGGTTTGCAGTGAAAAGAAGGGGGGGGTCCCCCAAACAAAATGAGGGCAGGAGAAACAAGGCGCAGGAGGCCCACCCCAAGCTTAGCTTTGCTGTGGAACTCCGAGCTACCCCCACCCCCGTGGGAGCATCCTAGTGGCTCCTTGCTGTTCCCTGCTCCGATGACACAGGCTCTCATTCCCACAGAGAGCCATGAAACCTAGAAAAGGCAGGCCTGGGAGGAGGCTCAGGTTTTATGGAGCTTTGAAAATGAAGTTCCTGTTCCTGCCTGATGAGCTGAGGCCCCCAGGGCTTGAAGCTGGGTGGGCCACCCCTGGCAGCTACCATTTCCCTCCCCCAGCCACATTCCTGTTTTTAGCTGCTTTTTTTTTTTTTTTAATGTTTTTGTTGATTTCAGAGAGGGAGAGGGAGAGGGAGAGAGATGGAAACATCAATGATGAGAGAGAATCACTGATCCGCTGCCTCCTGCACACCCCCGAGTGGATATAGAGCCTGCAAAGGGGGCATGTACTCTAACCAGGAATCAAACCATGACCCCTGGTTCAGGGGTTGACTTTCAACCACTGAGCCACACCCACTGGGCTGTAGCTGCTTCTTTTTTTTTTTTTTTAAATATATTTTATTGATTTTTTACAGAGAGGAAGGGAGAGGGATAGAGAGCCAGAAACATCGATGAGAGAGAAACATCAATCAGCTGCCTCCTGCACACCCCCCACTGGGGATGTGCCCGCAACCAAGGTACATGCCCTTGACCGGAATCGAACCCGGGACCCTTGAGTCCGCAGGCCGACGCTCTATCCACTGAGCCAAACCGGTTCTTACTGTAGCTGCTTCTTAAACTAAGGGTTAAGCTGCTAATAAAGTGGACCAGGCCCAAGAAACTATACCTGGGTTTTGGACTCCTTAAAAGCTGGTAACCAAAATTAGAGACTCCAGTCGTCACCTGTGCACTGAAACCAGTCATCCAAAGAGACTCCAAGTTCAAATGCACTTTATGGAACTTGTGATCTGGAAGTAACATAAATCACTTTGCCCTGCTCAGCCTAGCGGCATCTACCTGAAAATGAGGTAACCTGAAATATGGTCAGATTAATTCTGGTCAGGAATGACGAGTCTGAAGCCCCAAGTGGGACAACACTGTCTTCACACTGTGTCCCTCAGACTTTTTC